GCAGGGAGCGGCGCGGTCGGTGGAGACCCAGCCCTGGCGCTGGGAGGCACGGCCCCCGCCCCTGCGCCTGCGGCGGCAGCCCGAGCCCCACGAGTACCCAGGACCTCGCCGGGGCACAGGCAGCTGCCATTCCCCACCCCACAAGCGCCTCGTACGCCCTCCCGCTGACCTCCGAGCTGCACCCCCATCCTGGGCGCCAGGAACCTTCACCCCAAGCTTCCCCCAACGTCGTTCCAGGGCGTCCAATGTGCCCCAGCCCTGGGGACCCTCATTCCAGTAAACCCTAGGCAGCACCCCCGGCCCAAATCTCTATTTTTCAGTCTCCTCCCAGCCTGCCTGGCAGTCTCGGCCAGAGGAAGGCGCCCCGCAGCTGGGGCCGCAGCCCCCGGCTCCTTGCTGACCTTGGCCAGCCGGCCCCTCCCACCGCTCCCGTCCCGCACCAGACACACCTCACACCGGCCGCGCTGCGGTCTGCGCTTTGGTGTTTATTGTTTCCAAATCTCAGGCTTACGTACAGCAAGTAAGGGCACTGAAAATAAAAACGTCCTACAATGCGCTGGCTAACGCCTCCGGGGACGCGCCGCAGTGGGCCGGGTCCCACCACCCTCTCCCCTCCCCCGGGAGTCCTGGGGCAGGGACCTCTGGCACTGTGTGGCCGTCTCCCTGGTGTCCCGGCAGCCCTGCGGAGGGCGGAGAGCATCTGTCTCCGTGGCCGGGCACTCTCAGCAGCGCGGCGCTTGCTTGGCCGGCTGGCTCGGCAGCCGCCCGGGAACACAGTCCTGTCCCCAGAGGCCTGCGGCGGGTGGCGCCCCTGGGCGTCTGCCCGCGATGGTCCAGCCCTGGAGCTCCCTGGTGGCCGCAGCCTCAGAGGATCTGCTCGGTGCTGGAGGCGGAGATGTCCAGCAGGCGCCAGGCTGCGTAGGGATTGAGCTCGTCCTGGTCCCGGCACAGCGCCCACACGTACAGCATGCGCAGCACCTTGTCCTGCGGAAGCGCGGTGAGGGCTGAGCAGCGCGGGGCGGTGAGGAGGCGGATCTGCCCGGCTACTCGGCTTCAGACAGGGCCTGAACTGCCCAGGCAAGTCCGTGCTGGGACACAACCTTCCACCAGCTGGGACCAAGGGGGTCAAGATGCAGGGGAGGACCCAGGTGCTCCGGGAGGGACTAGGGCCCAGCAGCCAGGCAGAGTCCCCTGGGGCCACTAGTAAGGACCTGGTAGAAGCAGTCAAGGGGGTGGGTCTCCAAATCCCCACAACAGCCGCAAAGCACCTGGCGCGGAGGTGGCACCTGTGTCCCCATCCACCGCAACACTCACCGGGTCACCCTCGACCACCTCCCCCTTGGGGTTCCGGATCACCATCACCAGCTGGGCCTGGAAGGTAATGATCAGCACCGGGCCCTGCTCCATCATTTTGCCCATGGCCAGCTGCAGGGAGAGCGGGCGAGGATGTCACGGCAGGGCCAGCCCGCCCTGCAGCCCTGGACGTGGAAACCCCACACTCCCGGGGACCCGCAGCAGGGCAGGCCAGCCACAGGGGCAGCGGGGGCAGGGATCATGCAGCCCTGACGAAGCCGTGCCACCACGCCTGGCTAACAGGGGTCTGGGGTCGTTTGGGTACCCGCCCCTGCCGAGTGCAGCTGCCACCAGCACAGTCCTCTGGCCCTGCAAGGCCGCCTCGCGCGCCCTCCCGCCGTGTCACCCCTCAGACACTCACGTCCACGTTGTCGATGTCGAGGATGTGGGAGTGGAACTGGAGGCCCAGGGCCTTGGCCTGCTGGATCGGGTGGGCCAGCTGGCTGTAGGTCTGCAATGAGAGGCCACGGGTTGGGTGGACGGCCGTGAGGCCAGGCCCACACTCAGCTCCAGGCCGAGCGGGCATCTGCCCGCCCTGGCGCCTGGGTGTGCGGCGCCAGCGGCAGCAGCCAAGAGCACTGGGCCAAGAGGAGGGCAGGTGCCACCCGGCTGCCGGCCTGAGTCGCACATTAGCTTCTCATTATGGAAAGAGCAAGACGCCCAGCGATGGGTGGCACTAACACCAGGCAGTGTTGGTCAGCCAAGCGGGGATGTGCGACAGCCAGACACCCACCCCCACCACCGGGGACACGAGGGCTCTGGCTGATCCCCACAGGGCCACACCGGCGCCCCGGGGAGCCTGGGCCTGGAGTCCTGCGCTTTTCTAGGATCTGGCCTCACCTGTCGCAGACCACCCCAGTGACACCCTCCAGCGCCCTGTCCCCACGCCCAGGCACGGGCCGGGCGCAGCCCCAGACACGTGCCGCCACAGACCGTTTCCGTCCCGCTTCTTGGGACTTGGCAGGCACGAGGACGGGAGATACTTTTCCAAAACAGCTACTTTTTGTAGAAATCATTCATCTACCAGGAATGAAATGCAGAACCAACCCTGCTTGTTTTCCTTTATGGTTCTAGGGACTGAACCCTAGCCTTCACCACAATGAGCTACCTCCCTGGCCCTTTTCTTAAATTTTGAGACAGGATCTCAAATTTGTGATCCTCCTGCCTCAGCCTCCCAGGTAGCTGGGATGATAGGTAGGCGCCACCATGCCCAGCTCATTCCCCCCAACCCCAGTACTAGAGATTAAACCCAAAGCAACTCAACCATATCCCTAGCCTTTTCAAAATTTTTACATTTTGAGACTGTCTTGCTAATTTTTTTTTTTTTTTTTTTTTTTGAGACAAGGTCTCACTATGCAGTTCTGGCTGGCCTTGCGATCACTTTGGAGCCCAGGCTGGTCTTGAACTTGCAACAAGCCTCCTGCCTCAGCCTCCTGAGTGCTGGGATTACAGGTGTGCGCCACCACGGCTGGCTGTCTTGCTAAATTGCCCAGGCTGGGCTCAAACTTGCAATCTTCCTGCTTCCCAGCCTCCCAGAGTACTGGAATTACAGACACTGGTAAATTTCAAAAACACCTCAGTGGAAGCAGCTAGAACTTCAGCTGCATCTCCAGGGGCACCAGCAGCTCTCTAGCAAAGATGACCAGCCATGGCTCCATGGTGGCACCAAAAAAAGAAAAAGAAACACAACTCAGAAATGCCTGCTGGATTAGTCACTGTGCAGGGGAGCGTTCAAAGAGAAAATCTGACAGAATCTTCTCTGCTTTCTCCAAGTTGTTTGTGAGCAGTTCGTGCAATAGAAAGAGCCAAAAAAGGCTCAGGGCGTTTCACACAAAGAAGCTGAGGAAAGAAAAAAACCTGCTCCAGGGAGCAGCTCTGGGACGGAGCAGGCAGTGCTTCGGCACAGGGCCAGAGTCCCGGGGGGCAGGGCGGCTGCCAGGAAGAGGCCCAGGGCAGACGCCTGCCCAGCCTCCTCACGCCCTGGCTCTTGCGGTGGGTGGCTGGGAGACCTGAGCCCAGCTCGGTTACCACCGACTGTCGCCGGACTCCGGGAAGCAGCCAGGGTCCCGTCAGGACGCGCGCTGCTCCCCCGGGCGGGTGGGCGGGCGAGGCCGCTATGCTTTGTGTCTCGGGATCTGGCGAGAACGGCTCCGGGGTCAGCGCGCTCTGTGCTTCTGTCTGCAGCGCGCCCTCGCCACCCCACACCGTGGCACAGAGGGGCGAGGCTGGCTCAGGGACACGGGGCGAGCCGCCCTGGGGCCCCAGGAATGAAGGGCACCCGGCTCACCGCCTCGGTCACATGCCGACCCTTTCTCCCCTCCCGCTGGCGCCTGACCCCCAGGCTGTCTGCGCCATAACATCCCTATGCCACGCGGCAACCTGACTCGGAGCAGGAGTTATGCCGGAACCCTTTCCGCGTGACGCTCCTTGACCAAAGCTACTGTAAGGTAGGAAGCTTCGGGGAGGAAACCCCGGCCAAACCTGCAGCTCTGGGATACCGAGGTGTCCCTCCGGCCGACAGATGGGAGGGATCCCATTTTTATCTTCCTGGGGATGGCACCTCAGGCTGCCTGCATACTAGGGGCATGCTCCACTACTGAGCTACAACCCCGGCCCCATTTCTATTTTTGAGACAAGGTCTAAGTTGCCCAGGCTGGCCTTGAACTTGCGATCCCCCTCAGCCTCTGCAGCAGCTGGGATACCAGGGGTGGTATTTGCCACTCGGGAGCTTCGTCTGGAAGCAGAGGACCCGCTATGCGGCCCACAGGCACAGAGGTGCCACGGGCTGACCAGGAAGGGAGGCGACCGCCTTGCACCTGTGAGCCTGTGACTTGCGTTGGTGCCGGGATGGAAGCTGGGCGCCCTGTGCACACCAGGCATGGCTGTGCCCGTGAGCGACACCCCCTACCCTTCTGGGACTCTTTTTTTTTTTTGGCAGAAAAGAGACAAAAACAGTACTCACAGCTTCATAGCACCAGTCTTTGAGAATGTCGAGCTCTCCAGAAATCATGGCCTAAAAAGGGAAAGGAAAAAAATAAGTGGGAGAAGGAGCGCGCGCTCCGAGGTGGGAGAACAGCGCAGCGGCTCCTTTCCCAAGCGCCGTCCGGGGGGAGCAGGGCCTCTGCGTGCGCACAGCACCGGGGAGACGCGTGCCGGGCCCCCCACCGTGGCAGACAGGCCGGAAAGCGAGGAGGGCGGCTGCGTGCCTGCCCAGCCCACGTGGGAGCTAAACCACGGAGCTCGATTCTGGCTCTCGGGGCCCCACACGTCCTGCCTTCCTTGGGATGCGGCCCTGGATGACGGGGACACCCCCCCTCAGCACAGGGGGTGCGGGACACACACAGGGGGGTCCGATGGGACTGCTCCAGCGAGGGCGCCCGGAAAGAGGGCAGGAAGGAGCCAGGGCCTGCAGGGAGAACTGGCCAAGCCCTCCCCACTCACGAGAGAGAGAGAGAGAGAGAGAGAGAGAGAGAGAGAGAGAGAGAGAGAGAGAGAGAGAGAAAGAGAGAGGAAAGCAAGCTCCAGAACCCGCATCTCCGAGCCCAGGGCCTCCCGAGCCCAGGCGGCCCAGTGGGCGTGGCCAGGAAGTCTGGGAAGAGCAGGGGGGGGGGGCAGCTGCAGCCAGGTAGGAGCGAGGGGTGGTGCTGCGTGCTTGGGAACCGTGCCAGCAGCCGGGCATCCCGGGGGCACTCTGGACTTGCCCCAGGAGCTGCCTGGGCAGGGCCTGCGGGGCTCAGCTGGCACCTCCAGGACGTTGGGGATGATGTCACTCTCGCACTGCTTCAGGAACCGGTCTTTGTCGAAGGCTGGGTCCACACGCAGGATCTCGGTGAGCACCTCCGACATCTCCGTCTTGGAGAACAGGCCCCCTGAGGAGCCAAGGCGGGGTGAGTCCAGGGCCCCGGTGCCCCCCTCCCGGCACTGCCGGAGGAGCGCACGGGCAGCCCCAGGACAGCACTCACCCAGCACGTTGGTGACCTTGTCCGTCAGGGCCCGCGACGCCCGGATGAGCACGTTGTCGCTCTCGTCATACTTCATCTTCATCTCAAAGAAGCCTGCAAGGTTGGGGGCGGGCGCTGGAGGAAGGGTCCCTCCCGGGGGGCCCAACGCCACAGCCTCCTGGGGCGCCCTGTGAGACCCACCCTCCAAGGGGGCGGGCTCCACATGAGACCCTGAGCTGCTGCTTCATCCGTGCAGGGGACGCTGCCCGCCCCTACCTGGCGAGGCCCGGCCGTAGCCCTAAGGGGGCTGCGTAACTTACAGGGAGCCACCCCCGCTGGCCGATGCTCCACTACCAAGGAAACACAGGCCCCCAGCCGTGCTCCCGGACAGGGCAGGGGGCGCGGCCGAGGCCGAGGCCGCCCTCCTAGCACCCACCCAGCTGCGGGGCCTGGGCCGCCTGCGCCTGCGCCTTGGCCAGCTCCAGGGCTCCGGGCGCCCGATGTCCTGTGAGGGAGCCGCTGCCTGGCACCTTCGTGGCAGAATCTACAGCCAGCAGCGGTGGCCCCGAGGAGGTGACTGGGCCGCCGGAGCCCCATTTCCTCTTCTACAAAGCGGGGACAAGCCTGGGGCCCGGGACGCAGCAGGGCCGTCACACTCACGGTTGAACACCACGTTGTTGTCCCTGAAGTCCTTCCACTGCTGGTACCACCTGGAGTCCTTGTGCAGCACGACCCCCAGCGCCTCCCTGGGAAGACGGCAGCGGTGCGCGTGAGGCGCGGCCAGAGCCCCCGGGCCCAGGTCCCCGCCACCTCCCGTCCCGGGCCGTGCGGGGCGCCCGAGCCTACGCGTTGGGTTCAAACACTTTCTCTTCTTTGAACTTTTCTCCTGCGAACTCCGTCCTTTTCCGGAGCCGCTCGGGCCTGCGGTAGGGCCCCGTCTGTCCCAGCACGCTCTCGTCGAGCTCCTTCTTCACCGACTCCACGCCCTGCCGACAGCAGCGGCCGTGGGTGTCCCGGCCCTGCAGCCCGCCCGGCCCTCACCGAGGCCGTCCCCAGCCCGGCCCACTCACCTGGGAGATGGCCTTGAAGGCCGCCGTCCTGCCCAGCTTCTCCCCGCCCCTGGACACGGACTCGGCCGACTGCTTGGCCGTCTTGGCAGCTTCCTCCACCCCCTCCTTGATCTTCCTGCCCAAGTCGCTCCTACTGACCTCGTCAAGACTCTACTGGGACAGACAAGGGGCGGCGCTCGCTCACACAGCACCCGTAGGAGCCGAGGGCACACCCTGGAAATCACCGCATCCAGTTCCGGGGCACTGGAGCCCCAGGCCGGAAATGGAACTACCTAGTGACAGGGCTGCCCAGGGCGCAGGGCTGCCCAGGGCGCAGCGCTGCCGGATGAGAGCGGGGGTGGCGCTGACCAAGGCTAGACCTGCCTTCTTGTTTCTTTTGACAGGCTCTTGCTGTGTAGCCCAGGTTGGCCTTAAACTTGTGGTGATCCTCCTGCCTCAGCCTCCTGACTGCTGAGATTACAGGTGTGTGTCACCAAGCCTGGCTGCTCTGCCCTCTCTTTGAAAACCTCACACCTGCCACCCTCCCTTGCCTGGGGTAGATGCATCTCCTCCCCTTCTGTGTTTCACCAAGAACAAAGATCTTCTTTTGCTTTGTGTTGTGCCGAGGACAGAACCCAGGACGCACCCACACCCGGCAAGCGCTCCCCACAGGGCCGCACCCCAGCCCCAGTTCACCCTCCTTCCTGACGGCCCTGCGTCATTTCTGAGTGCCCAGGTCTGACTTCCTGCCTCCTGCCTTGAAACTGCATGTCTTGCTCCCTGCCCATCCCGGGGGCCAGGTCTGACCCTGCAGAACCAATGTCCCCACCTCCGCAGGGACAGGGACTTCAGCAATCCCAGCCACAGCCGTGCCCATTACCTCCTTCACCGTCCCTGTGAGCTGCCCCAGCTTCTTCTTGATCACCTCGCTGGTGCGCACCGTCTCTGACTCGATGGTTTTCTACAGTGAAGAAGGTCATTTCCTCCCCTCAGACACAGCTGGAGACTCTGAACCCCGAGTGCCAGCAGGCAGAGGTCTCCTCAGCAGCTCCGACCATGAAGGGGCCCCTCGGCCCACCCGTGCTATTTCTCTGGGCAGCAGGAGGTGGTCCTCAGCCACACTATCTTGGAACACTCCTGGCAGGACGCTTACCCCACTCTGCCTCCTGCCCAGCCTCTGGCCGCTGAAATTTCATTTTTTTGTTGTTTGTAAGTAGCCCAGACTGGCCTCACACTTGTGTCAGTCCTCCTGCCTCAGCCTCCCAAGTGCTGGGACGATAAGCGCGACCCAGCTTGAACCACACCCAGCTTGGAAGTTCCTCTTGACCTGCCCCAGCCTCAGCCTTGCTGGCCCTCAAGGTCCTCTTGCTTAATGATGACCCGCGCGATCTGAAAGGGGCACTCAGAGGAGAAGGCCTCGTCTGGCACGCAGTGACTGAGGGCAACCCTGGGTGAGCGGAGCAGCTGCGGTTCCGCAGGGCCTTCCCACGCAGTGTACACAGAACAGCTGCCGAGCCAGTCCAGCGGCTGGCGCTGGGCGGCTGCTCAGGAGGAGACCGTGGTAATGAGTAATGCTGGCCCCGTGACCCACTTCCAGCCCCGCAACTCTTCTCAGCAGCGGGCGTCATCCCATGCTGATGCTGACCCAGCGGGTCTGGAGGCTGACACCCCGCGGGCCCCGCAGCTCACAGGGGTGGCGGGCCCACAGTCTCTGGGTCACCCGTGTTGATCTCGGCGCTGCGGCACCTGCACCCACAGGCCGCCCTGGCCCAGGAAGCCCTGCCGGAAGCCGGGTGCCGGGAGGGGGCGGCAGGCATGGGGTGGGCGCACTCACGTATTTCCTCCGGGCTTCCTGGAGCGCGTCCGACTCTTCCAGCTTCTTGGCCTCGTCTCGGAACTTTTTTATACTTTCTTTCATCTCTTTGTTTTTGGCTAACTCTTGCTTGATGTTGTCAAGTAAGCCGGACAGAAAGCCTTTTCTGTTTCCGGAAGAGTATGATTTGGACTGGAGAGGATGGGAAGGAAAAGCATCAGAGAAGATACTGGAGGGTACCAGGGGCACGCCTGGCTGCACGGTGGGGCTGCCAGGGACTCTCACCTTCGCGCCTGCTGCTGACGCACGTTTACGCGGAATGGCCGGTCCACTTATCACAGCAACAGAGGATGCACTAAACAAGCACCCACTGATAAACTGCACGACCAGCCTTTTTTTTTTTTTTTGCGGTACCAGGAATTGAACTCATGACCTTGAGCTTGCCAGGCAGGCGCTTATGCCATTGAGCTATATCCCCAGCCCGACCAGCTTTTTTTTGATACTGGGGATTGAACCCAGGGCCTTTACACTGAGCTACATCCCCAGCCCTTTTAGTTTTTATTTTGAGACAGGACCTCACTAAGTTGCCCAAGCTGAGCTCAAACTTGTGATTCTTCTGACTCAGCCTCCCACAGTGCTAAGATTACAGGTGTGGGCCATGTCAGGGCCCTGTGTCCTCAGGTTCCACATCCTGGGATTCAACCGAGCACAAAGTGAAAATATGAGGGGGAAAACTGTACGCTGGGGTGTGATGGCACACACCTATAATCCCAGTACTCAGGAGGCTGAGGCAGGAGCACTGCCAAAAGTTTGAGACCCTGTCTCAAAAAACAAACAAATAAAAATGTCCATTCTAAGCATATACAGACGTTTCCCTTGCTACTTCTGTTTACAAAGCATGCACTCTGTATGAGGCAATACAACCCGCTAAAAGGTGATTTAAAGTTTATGGAAAGATGTGTTTGGGCTCTATGCAAAGACTAAACTAAGGGGCTGGGGATTTAGCTCAGTGGCACAGCGCCTGCCCGGCAAGCGCAAGATCGTGAGTTCGGTTCCCAGTACAGGGAAAAAAAAAAAAACAACAAAAAAAAACAAAGACTAAACTATTGCAGCTTTTGTTTTACTTTGAGATAGGGTCTTGCTATGTAGCCCAGGATGGCCTTGAATTCCCATGATCCTCTTGCCTCAGCCTCCCAAGTGCTGGGATTACAGGTGTGCGCCACCACACCTGGCTAAGACTACACTATCATATACTAAGGATCTGGGTATGGGGAGGAGGTCCTGGAACCAAGGGAGAGCTTACATCCTGGCAATGGAGTATTATTCAGAAACGAAGAGAAAAGAACTCTGAAACCATGGAGGAACTTTAACTGAAGAAATCAGTCAGAAGAGACTACATGTTGCATGATTCCAACTATAGAACATTCTGGAAGAGGCAAAACATGAGAGACAGTAAGGTGAGTGGTTGCCAGGGGTTGGGGAGGGAGGACAAATCAGAGGCACACAGGGCACTGTTTTGTTTTTTTTTGTTTTTTTTCCGGTACCGGAAATTGAACTCACGACCTCGCGCTTGCCAGGCAGGCACTGTGCCGCTGAGCTAAATCCCCAGGCCCCGGGCACTGTTAAAGACAGTGAAACTACTGTCTTTATCTCTACAGGTGAACATCTCCCTCCTCATTTGTAAGAACCCACAGAATGACAGCACCAAAATGCAAGACACCCTGAATTACCTGGAATTCTGCCACAAACCTGGATGAGTTCTGGCTTATCCATTCTAACGCTGCCTTCCCTGTGTGCAGACCAGGACAGAAAGGAGACAGAAACTTTCTCTTCAGTTTTTCTGTCAACCTAAAACTGTTCTAAAATGCCTACAATCTCAGCACTTGGGAGGCTGAAGCAGGGGGATCGCTGCAAGTTCAAGCCCAGCCTGAACTACAGAGTGAGACCTTGTCTTTAATAAAAACCCAACTGCTCTTTCCAGGCGTCCTCGTGAGAGTGACATCGTCTTTCAATCCTGCGTGGCAATCCCTGATGCACTGCCGTGATGCCCAGGGAAGACAGGGCGACCTGGAAATCCAACTACTTCCTTATGATTATCCAAAATGCTTCATTGTGGGAGCAGACAATGTGGGCTCCACGCAGATGCGGCAGATGCGCACGTCCCTCCGAGGGAAGGCAGTGGTGCTGATGGGCAGAATACCATGATGTGCAAGGCCATCCGAGGACATCTGGAGAACAACCCAGCGCTGGAGAAACTGTTGCCTCATCCGGGGGAATGTGGGCTTTGTGTTCCCCAAGGAGGACCTCACTGAGATCACGGATATGCTGCTGGCCAGTAAGGAGCCAGCCGCTGCACCATGTGAGGTCACCGTGCCAGCCCAGAACACTGGCCTGGGGCCTGAGAAGACCTCCTTCTTCCAGGCTGTGGGCATTACCGCTAAAGTCTCCAGGGGCACCACTGAAACCCTGAGTGATGTACAGCTGATGAAGACTAGAGACAAAGTGGGAGCCAGCGAGGCGACCCTCCTGAATATGTTGACCGTCTCCCCATTCTCCTTTGGGCTGATCGTTCAGCAAGTGTTTGACAGCGGCAGCATCTACAGCCCTGAGGTGCTGGACGTTACAGAGGAAACTGCATTCTCGCTTTCTGGAGGGCGTCCGCAATGGTGCCAGTGTGCGTGTGCAGACTGGTTACCCAACTGTTGCATCAGTGCCCCATTCCATCATCAGTGGGTACAAGCGGGTCCTGGCTTTGTCTGTGGGGACCGACTACACCTTCCCACTCGCTGGAAAGGTCAAGGCCTTCTTGGCTGATCCATCTGCATTTGTGGCTGCTGCCCCTGTCACTGCAGCCGCCCCAGCCAAGGTGGAAGCCAAGGAAGAGTCGGAGGAGTCAGATGAGGATATGGGCTTTGGTCTCTTTGACTGATCACCAAAAAACAAACTACTCAGCCTGCCTGATCGGCAAAGCAAGGGATGAAGGCATAATTCTCTTTCAAAGAAAAATAAATAAGTAAAATTTAAAAATTTTAAAAATTTTAAAAACCCAACCCATCAAACAAAAACCCAACTAGCTGAGATTTTGAATCTCAATGCAAAGAAATGATCCATGACTGAGGCAAGAGACATGCCAATGATCCAGACCTATCACTGCACATCATTTTTTTTTTTTTTTTTTAAGGCAGGGTCTCGCTATGCAGTTCAAGCTGGCCTTGAGCTCACTTTGTAGCCACGCTAGTCTCGAACTGGCAAGAATCCTCCTGCCTCAGCCTCCCGAGTGCTGGGATGACAGGCCTGCGCCACCACGCCCGGCTCACTGCACACTGTATATGTGTAATGAAATGTCACACTGAACCCCATAAACATGTACAATCAATTATGTGTTAATTCAAAATAGTATATACGCCTAAGGAAAAAAGTCCCAGGAACAGACCAAACTAAACTCAAATCCTTACTTCATCATGTGTGAGCTGAGAGTAGTGAACTGAAGAAAAGAGATATAAACTAGGTATGGTAGTGCATGCCCATAATCCCAGCACTTGGGAGGCTGAGGCAGGAGGATCATGAGTTCGAGGCTAGCCTGGGCTACATAGTCAGTTCAAGACCAGCCTGAGCTACGTAGTGAGACCCTGTGTCAAAAATTTAAAGAGAGACAGACAGAGAGACAGAGAGAGAGAGAGAGGGAGGGAAGGTGGGTGCTTAAAGAACAACTAAGAAATCAAGTCACTCAGAAGCAACCAGGTGTGGTTCTTCACCAGCATCTGGTCATAAGGAACAACAGCACCTCCTCAGGAGGGGTCGTCAGTACTTCTTCGAGCAGGCTGCAGGCCCCTCCCTCACAGTCCACCCTGACCAGTCTTTCTCTAGGAAAGGCCAGGTCCTAAGACCATCAAGAGTTCTGTCACCTCACACCAGTCCTGCCACACTCCGGGGCTGTGAACTGCGGAAGACAGGACTGGACAACCAAGGGAAAGAACCTCGGGTCTGCTCCACACCCGGACAGCCCCTGGACAGCAGAGGGAGATGATCAGCTGCGTGCTGGAGGAGAGGGTGTGGGCTGCTGCAACACCCAGCCTCAGGGCCTCCTGTGTCTCTCTCTCTAAAGGCCCTGGACATGGCAGACCCACATGTGATGCCCTGGGCAGCATGACCGAGGGGACCAGACCAGCCCAGCCCAGCCCAGCCCAGCCCCTCCCCTGCCAACCCAATCCCTCTTCTCCGCCCCTCCCCTGTCTGCTCGCTGGCCTCTGGGCCACTCACCCATAGCAGCTCTCTGCCTGGTCGGGGGATCTGATAGGCTGAACCATGGGGGAGGCTGTGGCTGGAAAGTAACTGGACGCCACTCCCAAGGCATCTCTAGGTGGAGAGAAAAGAAAAGGACCCATTCAAGCAAGAGGATGACCAGGAAGTAAGCAGGACACCAAAACACAAGGGTCTCTTAGGACTCATTTGCTGAGCCTGATCAGGTTCCTGCTGTGTGCTAGACAATCTGCAGTCTTCCCAGTCTGAGAAATCAGTGAAATCTGGTGGAAAAAGACAGGCCCCACCTGCACCTCTGGGGCCTACTGTTGCATCTGAAAATGTGGGGGGCAGGAAATGCCCACCTACTGGGGAAGGAGGTTAAAGATACCAGGGCAACTTAATCCCTTCAAAATGGGGATGCAGGTGGGGAGCAGTCTGCAGTCACAAGCCTCTCCCACGGCGGCCAGGCTCCAAAAGCTACAAATCTGGGTATTTGGGAGCAAAGTAACGACTTACTGCTCCAGGGACAAACTTGCAATGCTCTGGTCAAGGGCTGGGCTGCACACAGAACAATTTAGGGGAGTCATCCTGGGCAGAGACCTAGCGAATCTCACGTCAAAGGCACTTTCTTCTTCTACCAAATCAAGAACTTAAAGCTGTAGGGAGATCCTGTTCGACTCTGCAACTGGCACCCAGCCCGGGCCCTGGTGTCTGGAAGTCAAACGGCCTAAGGGAATCACTCTTCCACTCCCTGGGCCCTTCCCCCTTTTCCTGCCGCCTCGCTCTGGGAGCCCCAAGCAACACCCCAAACTTACACAGGTAGCACTACCACTTATTTTAACTCGAGGACAAGTCTCGGGAGTGCAAATACAAAGAAACCAAGTAAAAAATACGTGTTCTGATTCAAAGGCATTTACCTCCCAACATTCGCCTTCCTGTGAGCTACCTTCCTTCCCCTTAAGTTTGGCGCTGGAGTCAGACCTGTCTGGGCCTTGGACCAGCTCTAGGGCTGTGTGCAGGCTGCTTAGCCTTTCAGGGTTCCCAGTTTCCTAATCTGATGAAATGGGTCAAGCACAGCAATATGCACTACTTTCCGGGTGTGTATCACACACATCCTGACCCCGCCACCCGCCCGGCAGCGACAGCGCCAGCTCTCAGCCTCCGCGCTTTCACTCCGAGCGCCAGGGGAGGCCAGGCAGTCTACGCCTTCCGTGCAGGGCACGGCACTTAAACCCGAGCTGTGACCGTCGCGGGTTCTTCCTCCACGGGACACGGCCGGCCCAGCCCCCCTGCACTCCCCCGGCACGTGCAATCTCGGCAGGAGGCAAGGGGCGCCGGCTCCCCGCCAGGCGCCGCGCCA